AATTTCAAACTAGGACCTGGGAGGTCCAGGTTCGAATCGCTACTCTGCCATGGATGTTCACTGGGAGACCTTGGCCCGGTCACTCATGAAGATAAAATGGAAGAGGAAAGAATAATGCAAGTTGCTTTGGGTCCCCATTATGGAGAAAGGCAGGATATAGGTGAAACAAATAAATAATACAGCAGGACATGGGAGACAATTAAGTGGTGGGTGGGTGGGTGGGAAGGAGAGGAAGAAGCAGGGAAAGGTGAGCTGCCAGGAAGGATGAAGCAGTGGGAGAGGAAATAGTGAGGGGAGGGAGAAATGAGGTGCCCTACACAAGTCCTTGCAGGACTGAGCCCAGACTCCAAAACTGTTTTTCCCAGACAGGTAAGTAGGGAGAGCTTAAGGCAAGGAGTCCAGGTTCGAATCGCTACTCTGCCATGGATGTTCACTGGGAGACCTTGGCCCGGTCACTCATGAAGATAAAATGGAAGAGGAAAGAATAATGCAAGTTGCTTTGGGTCCCCATTATGGAGAAAGGCAGGATATAGGTGAAACAAATAAATAATACAGCAGGACATGGGAGACAATTAAGTGGTGGGTGGGTGGGTGGGAAGGAGAGGAAGAAGCAGGGAAAGGTGAGCTGCCAGGAAGGATGAAGCAGTGGGAGAGGAAATAGTGAGGGGAGGGAGAAATGAGGTGCCCTACACAAGTCCTTGCAGGACTGAGCCCAGACTCCAAAACTGTTTTTCCCATGTTTCATTTCTCTCTCTCTCAATAGGTCATAGTTGTATTAAGCTGGTCCTGAACATAGCCAGTTTAACTAAACCCCCCCCCTCATTGTAAAATATAACCTTTTTTGTGGTGTTTAGTCTCTGTTCTCCTCCTTGATATTAAGGGTGAAAAAGATTATAACTGGGCTTTACCAAGGCAGGGAAGAGGGTACCTCAGGAGTACCATCACAATGTATACTGGACTATATATAAACACCACCAAGCACTAGCATGCCAGTAACTAAATACTTCTTTGTCCTTTTTAAACAGCTGTGCTTGGTGGTGTGAGAGGGGAAGTGTGTTGTGGGCAGCAGTTCTTAGGCAGTCTCAAAGTACAGACACACACACACCAAGGTGAGGACAGCAGCAACACTGGGCTAACTGGGGGTTTTCCCACCAAAAATATTTTAGTGCTGGCTCCTGCCACTCCAACTCGTCACAACTTCCTTCAAATATTCCCTACTGCTGGGCTTGTTATCTGAGGGCCTGGCTGGATTATTGTTGTATGCCATTATCCAAGACAATTGCAAAGTGTTGCCTATACAATTAAGCTGAAAAAGGCACAGACAGTTGGTACGTTCTGCAGTTTTACCTCCTCCACCAGTTCCTATACGGCCCCGTGAAGGTCATGAAGAGAAAATGACGTAAATGTCAAATCATTTGCCAGGAAGGTGAAGTCATCTCACTGCCCAGGGCTTTGTTAGTCAGATCTCCTAGAAAACACACCTGGTGAACTTCTCCCAGCGGAAGTGATACACTCACCTGTCCTGCTCAGACACAAAATTCCCCAACTCCTGACCTAGTTCATATGTCATAACTATGGAATTAGTCTATCAGCCCAGTCTGATCTCAAATTAGTGTTACTGCATAACATCTAGAACCTTTATAATGCCTGAACGCCCTTTACTGCTCTTTCAATTTTCTATCTGGGAAAGTTTTTTCGGTAAGAGTCACAGACGTGGAATTTCATTGTATCACAGTATATACTTACAAAAAGCAACTTTCTTAACTAATGATGGAAATACCACTGAACAGTTCATACTTTACCACTAATAATTAAGTGTTAAAGTTGATTTGGTTACCGCAGAAGAATTCTGCATTAATTTTGAGCATTCAGGGGAAAGACAGGAAATTTTTTCAGCATCCATCTTTATGCACTCACTATTCCAAGTATCCCCAGCCCAATCTTGTCAGATCTTGGAACCTAAACAGTGTCAGTCCTAGCTAGTATTTGGATGGGAGACCACCAGGGAATACCAGGGTTGTGACAGGGAGGCAGGCAATGGCAAACCACCTCTGAAGTCTTTTGCCTTGAAAACCCTACAGGGTCGCCATAAGTCAGCTACGACTTGACAGCAGCAACAACAACATTCCCAGTAGGAAGTGCAAGAAAGGAGAGGGTGAACTATTATAGATAATTATGGTATGATGATAAAACTAAAAGGCTAAAGCAGCTACTGCTGAAATAGACATGGAAAAAGTTACCTGAAGTAGAGCAGTATCATGCGACCCACAAACGGGCTTCCTGGCACCAACATACTTATCTGACAAAGCATCTCTCCACCGTGGCAAAGGGCCAGCCCTAGCTTTCCTCCACATCTCTGTAGCAGGAGGCACTTTGGAAAAAGCCAGGAGACATCAGATGTCTGTAGGGAGCACCTGTTCAGAAATAACTCCCTCCATTGTAGGAATACAAGGATGCTGCACCAACACAGTGGCCAAAATATTAAAAAAAATGTTTTAAGACCACCCCAGGATAAAATCATTGGGGAGATTATATGCTTTAGCTAAAATCAGAAGGACAGATTCCAATGCAATGGAGTCCTTAAAACAGTACCTAGAATTAGAAGTTCAACTACTTCTTAAACTATGCACAAGGAAGAGTTTCAAGGCTGCTATATGAAGAGTAAGAATATCACTTCTCTCACTACCTGGACATTCAATAACATTTAACCCAAATAATTTTTTTAAGCATTCAGGTGGTTACATTGCAGCCTCACTGACTCTTCAGCACAGTGTTTTTCTGATCACCTTGGTCAAGTTGAGTTGTGCATTATTTTCTGCTTTCATTACCATGCCTTGGGTAACCTACATAATTCTTTTACACAGGCTTTACTGGAGCCATGTTGGAGTGGATCTTAAGAGCGGTGTGTGTACAGTTGCCAGCTGTGGGTTGGGAAATACCTGGAGATTTGGAGGGTGGCACCTGCAGAGGGACCTCATCAGGGTATAATGCCACAGAGTCCACCCTCCAAAGCAGCCATTTTCTCCAGGCTGTTCTCTCTCTTTGTTGTCTGGAGATCAACTATAATAGCAGGAGAACTCCAGGTGCTACCTGAAGGTTGGCAGCCCTAGATTTGTGTACACAAATGTAAAAAGCAACATGGAAGCCACTTCCTACAAGAGACAGAGAGTATATATGCAAGAACACACACACACACAAAGCCCTTTCACCAGGTAACTTGAGGAAGCATCACCAAACAAGGCTAACCACCAAATGTCTGGACTGAATAAATATCAACCCAAGTCATTCACACTAAAAATTCTATCCTTGCCTTTCGTCAACATAAGGAAGCCAAATGCATTTAATACTGAACATTACACTCAGATACTAGTAATTTGCTAGTAGCATGACATCCTCTCCACCCTGGAACAGATGAGTCCACTGGGACTTTCCGCAACGGGATTGCAGTAGTTCACAGATAGCCAGGATGTTTACTTACTACAGAGGTGGAGAAAGTACAGAAGAGGGCAACAAAGATGATTAAGGAACCCCTATGGGGGGCCAACAACAACAAAAAGATGATTAAGAAGTTGGAGCACCTTTCCTATGAGGAAAGGCTGAAGAGTCTGGGACTTTTCAGGTTAGAAAAAAGGGAAATGGGATAGGAATGATAGAGGTTGATAAAATTATGTATAAGATAGAGAAAGTGGAACTAATACTAGAACTTGGGTGCACCCTCTGAAGTTGATGGGCAAGTGGTTCAGGATGGACAAAAGGAAATACTTCCTTATTCAACAAGTAATTAAAGTGTGAAATTCACTGCCAGTGGATGTAGTGGCCATGAGCATGGATAGCTTTAAAAAGATGAGTTAGGCAGATTCATGGAAGAGATAGCTCCTAGCCATGTTAACTGAAGGAAGCCTCTATATTCAGAGATAGCAAACCTCTGAATACCAGTGCTAGGAGGCAACATCAGGGACGGCCTTGGCCTCTGTGCCCTGTTGGCCCCTTTCAAAGTAACTAGTTGCCTGCTGTGTGAAACTGATTGCTGAACTGGATGGACCACTGATCTGATCCAGCAGGCCTCTTTTAATTTTGTTGTCTACATGGTTCATTGTTACCAGCAGCCCTCTTTTTATGTACTTTGTTAACAATATTGGAGCACACCGCCATTAATATAATAAAAGAATTAAGGGATTCATTGTGGCAACTAATGATACTGCAGACAATAAGGAGGTCTGCACAATACTTGGACATGGCACTTGTGTATTTAATTCATTTACATCCCACTTACTCACCAATGAAGATCCAAAGCAGCTTACATTGTTCTCCGCTCCTCTGTTTTTATTCTCATGACAATCCTATAAGGTAGGTTAGGCTGGGAGTATTTGACTGGGCCCAGGTCACCAAGCAAGCTTCCATGGCAGAGGGGGAGATTCAAACCTGGGTCTCCCAAATCCTGGACCAACACTGTAACTACATCATGCAGTTAAATCAGTATGGCTCTGGCTTGCTCTGGAAGACCTCTTGGGAATCTAATATACATCATCTTGACTTCCAAAATGGAAGAAAAGGATACAGATAAAATATAGTATTTTACTTGCAACTTCAGTTGAGGATAAATCCAGACTTTGCACTATGTAAAAGGATACTCAGTAGTGTTTAACTCATTGCTAGATCAGCCCAAATTCACCATTTCATTTCCAATAGCAGCAGAGACAGAGAGCCTCTTAACACTCAGAATGGAAGCATGGAAACAAGTTAAGTGCCTTCCCTTGTTGGTTGTGCCCAGCGTCAAGGTATACTGCCTATGTATATGGAGGCTTCATTTCACTATCAAAACAAACAGCCATTGATAAACTCATCCAGTTTTAACAAGTCTAGCTCTTTCTAAAAGCCATTGAAAGTAGTGGAGCGAGAAACACATAGGATAGGTTACTTACTTCGTATTTCCTTTAGTCAGATCTGAAAGTCATCCCCATCACCCTTCCCCAGACACAAGCACACCTTGCTCTCCTTACCACCATTGCCTTGTCCCAGCAGAGATACATAGGCCTCATACATTTCCCTCTCGATATAGTTGAGGAAGCCGTCCTTCTTGGCGAACTTGCAGACGAAGTCCTGGTCGTAGAGACAGTTCATGAGAATGCAGCTTTGGATGCTGTCTTCCTCTCCCGGGGTCTGCTCCACCAGGGCCAAGTTACACTCCGGATTCTTACAGCAAGCTCTCACGCAGTCCCGGTTCCCTTCCAGAGGAGGCGACTCCAAGAAAGTAGCTCCGCTTTGCACGGAGGCCTCCATGTCCAGGACAAACTCAGGCATCCCCGCCGTGAAGCGCGCTAAGCAGTTCTCTCCGAAGGAGGCTCCCGCCTGCCCCTCTTCCTGCCCGAAGACGAGCACAAACATCACAGAGCTCGCCAGCAGTCGGAGTTGCGCCCCACTTCGGGCCATCCTGGCGCTCGAGAAGAGTTCTTCTCCCCCCCGGGCGCGGATCCCCCCACCCCCACCCCAACTGCACCTCCCCGCGCACTTCCTGGCGCCGTAAGAAGAGAAACACGCGGGTCCTTGAAAGGGCAATCTGAAGGGGAGCCCGAGGAAGTCGTACCTGTTAAAATCAACCTGTCTGGAAAGAATAGCTTCTAGTTGTGAAGTAAACAAGTTGTCTCTGGAGTACAAACGCAAAAGAAACACCTTCCCGAAATCCTTCCCTCAGCGCCCCAGACCAATTCCAGGCAGAATTCGTGCGGCGCGTCCTTCTGTCAGGCAGCGCCCGCCTCGATCTTCTTCCGGCAGAATTAAGGCCGGTGGGAACTGTAGATGCCAAGACTGGAGGCCCTCCGCAGGGGCTATTAAGCTTCGTTTTTTCTCCAACGGGAGTTTGGCTTCCCCTTCTAGAGCAACTTCCCTTCTTCCTTTTCCTGGTCTCTACCTGTAGAGTTTCAGGTGAAACTGACTCATGGACCGCCCCAGAGGGTGTCTCCCTTCCGCTGAAGTAACTCTGTCTCTAACTCGCTTACTGCCTGCACTTCAGGTGTGCCTTTAACTAGCAGGCAGGAAGAGACAAAAAGGCTCCAGGTGGCCGGAAGTGAAATCCGACCCTTATGCAGAACCCTCTTAAACGTATTTATTTAGTCTAGGCAACAAAGAACAGGGAGGTTGGTTTATAAGGGGGAAATGAATTTCTAAAGCAGGACATAGTTTAATACTCTGTAAAATCAGAGGTATATTCCCAGTAGTAATGTATGGCTGCAAGAGTTGGACCATAAGGAAGGCCGAGTGATGAAGAACAGATTCTTTTGAATTATGGTGCTGGAGAAGACTCTTGAGAGTCCCTTGGACTGCCAGGAGATCAAATCAGTCAGTCCTAAAAGAAATCAACCCTGACTGTTCCCTGGAAGGCCAGATAATTAAACTGAAGCTCAAATACTTTGGCCACCAAATGAGAAAGGAGCACTCATTGGAGAAGACCGTGATGCTGGGAAAGATTGAAGGTCAAAGAAGAAGGTGACGGCAAAGGATGAGATGGTTAGACAGTGTTATCAATGCAATGAAATCAAGCAAACTTTGGAGCACGACGGAAGACAGGAGGGCCTGGCATGATGTGGTCCATGGGGTCACAAAGACTCGGACTCGACTGTATGACTGAACAACAACAACAAGATCAGAGGCAGACAATGGCAAATCACATCTGAACATCTCTTGCCTTGAAAACCCCGTGGGATCATCGTAGTGTGGCTAAGACCTGTCAGCAAACAAAAAAATCTGTATCAAATTTATAAATCCATATTTTGGTCCTGTTCTGTAGTCCAATTTTTTTTCTTATCAATTATGCTTCTAAGTAAAATCTTACCCATGGAATTTATGAATTTTCATGTGCTTTGAAGTGTTCTGTTTTGAACAAGCATATGAAAGATCTAGCTAGAATTACTCATGCTTTTTACCAGCATCCAAGTTGGGTTATCTCTGTAAAATGATCTGAAATCATATTGGCTCCAAAATATGGCTGCCTGGTCATTAACTAGCATCAGTTATTTAGAGCATATGACTCTAATCATTTGTAACTTTTTAGTTTCTCAGCCCAGTTCAAAGTTCTGGTTTTGCCATTGGTCCTAAATTGTCTGAGATCAGTGTATATTAACTTTCATGTACATTCCGTTCTTCAGATACTGTTCCCCCATCACCTGTATTATGAAAAGTGGCTACAGGTTAGGGCCTTTTCTGTTGGGGTACCAAGATTATGGAACTCCCTCCCTATGAAGGTTAATTTTGCCTTCTTCTTGCTGGCCTTCAGTAATTTTTTTAACTTTTATTTGATTGACCAATGTGTTCATACTGATTGTGGGTTCTGTTGGTGTGATTTTAGTATTTTGTTAGCCACTTTGTAGGTGACTCAGTGGTTAAGACGCTGAACTGCAGACCGGAAGGTCGGTAGTTCAGCAGCTGGCTC